CCACAACATCAATCTTTGTTTTGATTTCTGTAGTTGTCTAGGAGAAAAATAATCCCAAATCAAGCTACATGAAGCATTAACAATATTCAGATATTACAATGGAAGCACTTATTTATTACTTCATAGAACAGATTAGTTTTAAAAGTGTATTTACATGTTCTAAGTTATACAAAATACAGTATTCCAATAATCATGTCAATCACCGTATTTCAGACAACTTCACATAAAAGTGCAGAGGATGCATCCATCCATGATCCTGGCCAGTAGCAAGCGGTCACCCACAGCGTGACAGATGAGAGCTGCTATTGTGCCCCCTCAGGAAAACAAATCCCACCATACCTTCTCACCGAGACGTCACTGCAGATCTAAGAAAACACTCAGGCAGGTACACGAGCAAAGTTTGTTGAGACCCACAGACCACAATCACATGCCTTAATTTACTAGATGTATGTGAAATACATTTTTTTTTTTTTTTTTTTTTTTTTTTACAGATGTTGTACAGCGAAGGGCTTCTGCTCATGCCTTAGGTGGGAAAATGAAGTAACAAGGGTTTTGGCTAAGTAACAGGCACCCAAATTACACTTAATATCAACAGCCTTTTAACTACAACTGATTGTGTGTTACGGACACAATTCTGCACCTGACTGCCTGGGCAGAGCTTCACATTCAAGAACAGATCCTGTGAAGGCCACGTGGTTCTCTACAGATACAGGGCTCATCCCATGCAGAAATGACAGCAGAACTGATGCCTTAAAATACCGGGGCCTCAGACAGTAATTTCCTCACGACACAAGGCTATCAGTTCATATTGGCACATCCAGTCCCAGTGCAACAGTGCACTTAGTGAAAGCAACAGCTATTTTTTCATGCCTTTCTGCAGTAACTCTCCACCCTATCTGTATATTCCTTTCATTTTCTTCTGGACTGTGGAAACAAGATCAAGAAAAGGAGATTCCCAAAACTTAAACAAGTACATATCTTCTATATGATGCTAAACTGAGGGGACCCAAATTGTCCTAAAATGGTAAACAGTGAGGTTTCAGTTTTAGCAATCTGGCTCAGGTCGTACTTTTGCATTACTCTTCTCTTTTTGCTTTCATTCTTTACTCCCCTTGCCAAGTATCTGTATGTTTATCTATACATGTATCTTCCTCAAAGCATTCCCTTTCTCCTGTAGCTGCTTGAACTTTAAGAAGTTTGCATTCCAAAAGTGACTCACTAGGCAATAGCACACTATCAAACTAACAAACTGCATTTTATATTACAAATTTGCATTATCATGAATTAAGTCATTTTAATTTCTCAATTAGTGTTATGTTAGCATCTCTGTAGCAGTTTAGTTAAGCCTATTCTTTCTACCTTTTTCCCAGTCTTTCACTGTGACTTTATCTATCTTCACCATGTTACAGTGGCAGATATACAGATCAGAGTAATTATCTGAAAATCTAGAAAGCCAGCCAGTGTCTGGTAGTGCTGCAAAGGCAAAACACTAGCATTAACAAATGATTTTGCTGTTTATGGATTTAGATGTAGGTTGCCAAAAATGAGAGATTTATGCATTAAGACAAATTTGCATTTCTCATCTTGTGCTTAGCAGTAAAACTGTAAGGGTGAACAAAAGCCCATCTGGATTTTACAAAGGTCCGAGATACCTCCACTCTCCTTAAAAAGGAAGGCATCTGATCACAAGGAACAAAGCCCTGTTATGCTGAAGAGGCTTACGAGGCTGAAGCAGCAATATCCTCTTTTGTGCAAGACCATTTTTTCTGCTGTCCACACAAAAATATTTTTCCACACAAAAATATTTTTCCACACAAAAATATTTTTCCACACAAGTGGTTTTATTACAGTATTCCCAAAGCTGCTGGGCTTCCACTGCACCTCCCAACTTGAAATGAGTTTGGTACAACTAGTAGCAGTCCTGCAGATAATGCTGAAAAGTGATTTCTACAGCTAGAACACCTTGGGCTTTCAAACAGGACAGCAGGGAAATGAAGAACTGTCAGAAAAGAAATAAAATGTTACCAGAAGAACTGCAAAAAGCTATGTTTAACTTAAAAAAAAAAAAAAAAAAATTCTTCTCCCAGCACAAGTTTATAGTACACTAGTTTTTCCACCCTGTCCATGCAGGGCAACAAAAAAAAAAAAGCAGAATTCAGATTATGTGAATATCAAAACTATCACTAACTGTGTAAATGAACAAGTGATAGGACCAGTTTACCAACATTACACCTGCAATCTGAGATACATCCACCTGATCCCAGCACAGAATGCTCCAGGGTAAAGCAAAGACACCCCTGACTCCAGTGCTTCCTAAAACTTTACCATAACCATGTGAGAGTAAAGACTTTTTCCTGTGGGAGTTAATGAGATCTTTGTTACTGGCTTCAGTGGGAGCAGATCTTGGCAACAGGTGAAAGATTAAGCTTCTAAGGAATTTTTAAATAAAAAAATGTGTTATTATAAGGAGATATAACTATGTGTAGATTAGAAGACCATGTATGAAAGCAATACTGTATTAAATGTTGCGCATCATTTATTCATAGTCTGTTTCTTCTGTAGAAGACGACAACACTCATTGCCCACAAATCTCATCAACAGTTTATATATTTTCAAAGTTAGTACTGTGAAATGGCTGTTTGGTGTCAATCCACTTCCTCATGAATGTACAGCTGTGTCAAAAACTGCTCCCTTTACTGGCAACCCCTGCAGCGATGCTGAAAGGTGCACTCCTTTTATTCTCTCCCCTTGGAGATGGTCCCTTTATGGCTGGAATGGGGTACATTGGCATCAGGCACACTTACGGCCTCTACAGAGCATGTTCCAAGGTTAGAGAACTTCAGACTTGAACAGCGTCAACTCAGCATCTTTTAACGTTCAAACTGAGCTAAAAGAATATTGGTCTTATGACCACTATGAAAACATACCCAAGTTATCACTTATGGATAGGATTGTCATCCTAGTCAAAGAAACAAGATTACATAGTTAATCATTCTGAGAGGAGCAGAGAGCTCTGAAGCAGTAAGCTTAACTTCCTGAGACTGCAAAAACTGAGAAAGGAATTCAGCATTGCACGTAATTTTTTGACTGGCAATACCTACACTCCTTTAAATAGTCATCACCTTCTCATCTATCTTTGAAGATGTTGCTTCTTAACAAAAAAAAAAATTCTCCAACTACAAAAGTTAAGCCGCACTCACCCTGAAGTGCGATTTTCCAGTTTTGCAACCCGTAGACACATGAATCACAGAATGTGCAAATTTGCGCTGTCCTACAGGGAAGCACAAGAGTTTGCTAACAGTCTTCTGTGAAAGAAAGATCTAATGAACATTCACTGTTAGTTTCCATTGTGTAAGCTTTTAATACAACAGTAAAAGCTAACAGAATTGCACATACTATTCTCACTGACTGAATATTCTGCTGTTAAAATAGCATGATATACTGCAAAACCAAATCCTATATACAATATGTAAGTATTTAAAAGGTATTCCTAAAGCAGCAAGACCCAAATGAAGGACTAGCAACTCCTTGCCCAGTTACAATACCCGTTAGCTTTGTGATTTAAACAGGAAGCATGACTTTCAAGAGCAGTCATTCAAAGTTAACTGAAAATTTAGAAATTATAAATGCAAAAAGAGTTGCTACATTTACATGCTGTCAGGGTTGTTTGTTTTGTTGGTCGTTTTTTTTTTTCCTCTTAAATCCACGGTTTGGCCTTTGTCACCAAAATAAAACAACAACAAAAAACAGTACATACCAAAAATATCAGTCCAAATCACCAATACTTGATACAGATAGAGATATGTGCTGACATTTCAGCAACATGGAGCTCAACTATTAATCTATTTGAAGAGAATACCCCAAGATTATCTCAGAGCTTTAGAATCCCAAATTATAATAATACACTCATAAGTATACTTTTGTAACAGCAAAAAAGTTAAAAGCACTTTCTTGACTTCAGAACATGGTCCATTAAAAATAACAGGTCAATAACTGCATTTAATGCATATGCTCTTTACAAAGGTTATGCCTTCAAAAAACTGTCTATGAATTCTGGGGTTTAAGATTTTTATTATTTTTTGAAATGAAGTTTACAACATTGGCTGCTTCTTTGCATCTTTTTCTCTTTGCCTTTCTGCTCTGAAATTAGGGGTGGAATCTCTTGGTTAAATGCAAAGCCAAAATACTTGTTCAACATGATAGTGTCGAGCTTTGCTGGTAACTAGTTGTGCCTCGTAATTTTGGCACTTGTGCTTCTGAAAGCTTTCAAGATTATTTTTCTTGAGGTGTGTGCTGTTTATCAATCTCCAGGCATGAATACGCTACTGTCTTACAAGCTCCATTTTGGCTACAAGCATGGCCCTGTACTACTTTCCCAGAAATTAAGTACTCTTTTTCTTCCCACACAAATTTAGCTCTTAAGCTTCCTCAATATAAGAGTAGATTCTTGTTATGCTGATGAAACTCTTACGAAGGAACTTCCACCTACTTCCTCCATCTTCTACACACAATAAACATCTCTGCAATCTGTCCAAGCTTTCATCTACTCTCCCACACCAGCACAAGGGTCTTGATACTTAAGCTGCCCGTTGTAACTGTGGGAAATCGTTGGCTGTTTCCGTTTTATAAAACAGATGACAAAGTGCTCTTTCGCCACCACAGTTCTCATGTAGTCAAGAGACAGAAAATTGTAATATGGCAACTAATAGCCATTGCTTTGCTGGAGCTAATACTCATTTGGTAGTTTCAGACTGCCAAAAGACACGGGGATCAGCAGCTCAGACTAGCACCTTTTCCATGATTGCTAAATCATTAACAAAATAATAGATCTTGTTTCAGCAAGATACCATAAAAGAAAGCGAGCCTCATAAAAGAAACAAAGGAGAAGGCAGGTTACAGCAGTGTGGCTGCAGAGCAGGAAAGCAAGCGAACTCTTTTACTATTACACAGGTCATTTGATAGAGGTTTATTACTACTCTTTGTATGGCACACTGTGGTGCTTTTTGGATTGTTTCAATACATCTGCTGTACTTTTCTGCACTGGAAGTCTCACACATCACAGACTGCTGTTCTCCTGGTGTCTTTAATTCTGCACTCACAGTACTCCGCAAGATGCTACACTGTACCACAAGTGAGTTGCAGTATTAAATAAAATTCACTTTACTGCAGGGAAAAGTCTTAAAATATAGCAATTCTTAATATATACAGACACTTTCATTTAAAACTCCCTATTTTCTTCCACTCGAGTGCCAAAACAAAGAGTCATTATTCGCCTGTCAACAGACTTTGAGACATGAACTTTGAGTGTCTTGACAAAACCCCAATAAGTAAGCTTATTGTAGTTCATAGTTACAGTGAGAAAGACAGATAAGAAAGCCATATACAGAATTAAGGAGACTTTGCACTTTTCATCATGCCCAGCCCTGGGTAGTTCAGATGGGGTACTTGCAGGCAAGCAGGCAGGCAGGGTCATCGTCAGTTGTTTGTGTTGGGACACCTCATAGATTTCACTGCTCACTCTGAAGACTGGCGATTCATGTGTGCTTTTTAGTTTCTTTGTTTTTAAAAGTCTTTAAAGTTGCATCACTCGGAATCAGATAAGTCACTTTAAACAAAGCAAAGTGTTAAGTGTGACAATTTATTTATAACATACTTCCCACCATCACCACCACACACCACCCTGTGAAAGAAAAACCCCTGCTGAAAGGGTGACAATTTGTAGTATGTTTGAAAGAAATTAGACCAACACTGCATGAAGAGCCACTCTAGTCAAATTAAAAGCATAACAGAGGGGGAGATAGTTCAAAGCATACATTTACTTTAAGCGTTCTGGATTAGCCTGCTTCTCCACTTCCTTAAGAAGTCAACGCACAATTGGTCTAAACTCATACCAATTTCCACATTATGCTTAAAAGACAAGCTAGGCAAGAAGTCTTTAGTATAGAAAAGAAACCCCAATCCTTTTTTAATATTCTTTTCAGATTTCAATAGGCGAACTGGCAACTAGCCTAAACATCTTCTATCCCACATTTACTCCCTAATATAAATATTAGCCCAGGAAGTATAGCCTAAGAGTTCTGACACAGCCACCATCTTAAGATAGCTTCTCTTGTTAAGAGGACTTCTAGACATATACTTCTGTTAAAGCTTCTGGTTCTTGCAGTTGTAGGTCATGTAGAAGGTCCCAACATCACACATAACATATTTTTCTTTTAACACCACGTACTGTTGAAGCAGCGCTTGGTGCTGAGAATGGATTACTTCCAAGAGGGCAAGTCTCGTGTGCTAATTTTGTAACAGGAAACATGCTGGAGAGAGAACCAGCAGGCATGGAGAGACCAGATACGCTGCTACACAGGAGATAGTGAGGTAAACTGTTCATGTTTAGAGTGGGTGTAGCTTGTTCCATAGAGTGTTCACGAGGCAAAGGACCAAAACTCTTTCTCAAATTCTTGTACAAAGGGTAAGGTGCAGTAAAGTTAACAGTGGCTTGTTTGTCTGCTTCTTAAAAATAAAAAAAAATAAAAAAATAAAAAAAAGCAAACCTTCTTCCAAAGCATAAGGTACTGGCAATTCCTTAACAGATGGGCCTCAAGGTTCAGCCTAACGAGCCAGACCTCTTTTCCTAAACCTCCCTTACTTCTCAGTTAAGTGTAACATGCTGCTTTATCAGCAGTTCAAGAGAGAAGTCCCTCTAAGGAAAAAAAGGAGGGGTGGTGGTAGAAATACAGCCGAAACCTCACAGCAAATTATTTGTCCATATCTGTAAAGAGAGAGCCCCTACTGTCCTCTCTCCTTGGTTTCTGGAAGTTATCCAGGATTAGAGCCTACCAAGATGTTTGAGCAGTATTCTTATCAACACTGCACTGACTCTGGTCTGCATAACACTTGTGCATTAACCTCGAGATATCTGTTTTTACAAGAGATTGACTATTTTCCTGTCTTCCTGTCCTAAAGGTTCCCCTATTCCTCTTCAACAGGAACAGAGTTCTATACAAGAGGTACTTTCTAGTGCCTCTGAATGGGAGAGGAAATAATTTCATGATGCTGCCCAGCAACATCTACTTATGTCTTAAAATTGTTTTACAATTTGACTTGGGGGGGGTGGTCATGGAGATGGAGAAAAGAGCAGGAGTTTAAAAAGAAAAAAGTGAAAAAAAGCAAGGAGAGTCTCCTAGGCTCTTTCTCCACTTAAAATGGAGATTAGAACAGATAGCAAAAGCCCTGTCCAGTCAGGAGGGATCCACATCTATTCCTCCAGACAGGTGAGTCTGTTCTATTGTATGACATCAGAAAATGGTCTATCAGTGTTAAAACCAAAAAGCTGTAAATACAGACACTAAGATTTTGGGCAACACAACGATCAGGAAAGGGCCTGAACAAGTTGTGCCAACAGAAACAGGGTTTGGGTTTTTTTTTGTGTAGATGCAAAATGGCAAAGCCTCCACAAACTTTATTTCTGGGAGTCTCTACAGAAGGCAGAGAAGTCTAAGAGGCTAAAACAAGGAGCCCTAACAAGGAAAAGGGGTGTGCTTACAAGGGTCCGTATCTGGTCTCGTATTTAGAAACAATGTTCTTGCATCGTCCCACTTCCTTGCGCAGCTCTGCAACCTCCGTCCTCAGGGCCGTATTCTCTTTCTCAAGAAAGGCTGCCCGAATTGTGATCTGATTCTCCTTTAATCGCCGAGCATCACGGGAACGCTTTGCTGCCACATTATTCTTCTTTCGCCTTGTCCAATATTTTTCATCCTGTAGCAAAAAAGGAAAAGAAAAAAAAATGCCAACCTGACAACTATATCAAATAGACACCTGTCCTGGTTTCAGCTGGGATATAGAGTTAATTTTCTTCTTAGTAGCTGGTATAGTGCTGTGTTTTGGATTTAGTATGAGAATAATGTTGATAACACACTGATGTTTTAGTTGTTGCTAAGTAGATGTTGATAACACACTGATGGTTTAGTTGTTGCTGAGTAGGGCTTACACCAGTCAAGGACTTTTCAGCTTCCCCTGCTCTGCCCAGTGCACAAGAAGCTGGGAGGGGGCACAGCCAGGGCATCGGTCAGTGGGTGGTGAGCAATTGTGTCATGTATCACTTGCTTTGTATATTATTATTGTATTATATTCTTATTACTACTACCATTCTATTTCATTTTACTTCAATTATTAAACTGTTCTTATCTCAACCCACGAGTTTTCTGACTTTCACCCTTCCAATTCTCTCCCCCATCCCACTGGGGTGGGGGGAGTGAGCGAGCGGCTGTGTGGTGCTTAGTTGCCGGCTGGGGTTAAACCACGACAACACCTCTTTATACTATAAAAGAGATTCACACTGACTGCTATATTGAAGAATCTCCTTCATTGGTTTGCAAGGCTCAGACATCAAAATGCAGGCAACACAGTACTGTAAGATTTCATCCTTACATGAGTCTTGTTTTAGGATAAACCAAGTGCACTGCTAGAACTGGAGAAATTAAGAGACTCAGCTACTAAGAAGCTGTCCAACTGAAAAGCTCCCTTTACTTTGTTTTAGTTCAGGAATGAACTTCCACAGAAAACAACCTGTTCTGTTGTCTGGGCTGCTTAAAGCTGGATCAGACATAATGCTGGGCAAATACATACAATGGCCTTCAAAAGTGCAGTTGATGAGGATGTGACTTGACAGTTCTTCTAATTTCTGTGTATAGCATGATAAGTTGCTCCTGCTCAGTAATTATCTCATGATACCAAACCAGCAAAACAGCAAGAACAGCAGTTGATTTGTGTCCTGGCTTCTGCTGGGATAGAGTAAATTTTCTTCCTAGTAGCTGGTATAGTGCTGTGTTTTGGATTTAGCATGAGAATAACATGGTAACACACTGATGTTTTAGTTGTTGCTAAGCAGTGTTTATACTAAGTCAAGGGCTTTTCAGCTTCCCATGCTCTGCCAGCAAGGAGGTGCACAAGAAGCTGGGAGGGAGCACAGCCAGGACAGCTGACCCAAACTGGCCAAAGGGATATTCCATACCATATGATGTCATGCTCAGTATATAAGCTGGGGGGGGAGTTGGTTGGGGGACAGTGATCCAGCTCAGGGACTGGCTGGGAGTCAGTCAGCAGGTGGGGAGTGGTTGCACCACTTGTTTTTCCTGAGTTTTGTTGCTTTCTCTCCCTTTTGTTGTTTTCATTTTCATTACAATTTTTTACTCTTTTTATTGTATTTCAATTATTAAACTGTTCTTATCAACACACAAGTTTTCTCACTTTTAACCTTCTGATTCTCTTCCCCCCTCCCACTGGGGGGGAGTGAGGAAGCAGCTGTGTGGTGCTTAGTTGCGCTGGGGTTATAAACCACGACAACTTGCCAATTCTATTTTTGGCAGTGCTTCTGCCCAATCACGTAGGTCTAGCACATTAGCTTTATATGTCAAAATGTTTGGGCAAAGAGTCAGAGACTTTGATCAAGGCCTAGAGAAGTTTGCAGCAATAAATCTGTTACCTTTTGTTCATCTGGGACAAAAACCTTCTTGGCTTTTTTAATCATTGGTTGTGGTTTCAGGTCCTCTTCAGTAAACTTGTGCTTGCGAGGATTGAAGAGCTCACCACCAGGCACACTGGACAGCACTAAATCAGCAGGGTCAGGGTTAAAATTCACCTCAACTTCTACGCAGTCAGGATCAATGGGGCTGGGAGTGTTTCTGTCATTTTGTGGTGGGGACTCTGGCAACAACAGGAGAAGTTACAATACATTCAGCAGGATGAAGAGAATTAACCACGTAGCCAACTTGGGTATCTCTATTTATTGCCCTACTGTGGGCAGTATTTAATAGTATTATTTGCTATTTCCCTAAGGTGTGCTTGGTGCTGTACAGCTGCTGGTACAGAGAGAAGCTACACAGCCCAGGTTGTAATACAAACTCTAGGAACATATGCCAGACTAACAGACATGAGTAGATAGATGCGGGACAGGATTCACCACTTCCTCGGCAAAACCTATGTGCTTTGCGCACTTAAGAAGCGCCTTCCACAGCAGTAAGAAGTGAGAAACTTGTACTAGCCTGAGTTTTGTGCCATAGAAAGCCTTATGGAAACAAGCCTGCCAGAAGACCCCAGTCCCTGGGTCCTTCAAAGGTCAGACAAATGTATTTCCAAACAAAGGACTAAATAAAGGTGGGTTTGTTACAAATGCACCAATTCTATTTCTTTGCCACATGGAAACAAATGTCCCAACAGATTGTCTGACACTGCTGGCGTTCATATGAACTCTGTCATACTTATCTATTGCTTACAAATGTCACACACATGAATGGTAAATGTCAGTGCAATTTGAAGTAGCGATCAATGAATGAGTTTTTTCATACACTCCCCTAGAAAAAAGCCACACCCTATGTCTTATTGAAGGAGTTCCACATTTTGCCTTTCACTTGCAGATTCACAAAAGAGGCCCTGAGCAAAATGCTTCCTGTAAAGTCTGCTCATAAAATAGTAATGTGAAAGTTTAGTGACTACCATGTTTAAACTCCAAATCTAGAGCAAACCAAGCTGCTAAATTCTTTAATAGAGAAGATCTCCATTCTACAAACGAAGAGCAGTTTCCTAGTACCATTTCAGTACAGTTTTGTTTCTTTGTTCCTCCATTCCCACTTCAAAGCATCACTGAACATCAAACTACATCACTAACACACCTTTTCTGAGTATCTGTTCTCACTTTTCACAGGCTAGCATGAAAAGATTGCTTCATTGTTTTTCTATTAAGCATTGTTACTGAGGTACATTAAGCTAGCCTAAGTTCAGCCAAGCAGACCAAGCCACCAAGGTAGCACAAATGACTTCTCACCAACTACCAAATCTGTTGTAAAATAACCTGAGCAACTACTTTCTCAACATGTCCAGCTTCTCACTAGATGAGCAATACCAAGAAAGCAAATAATTTATGTTGGTGTTTCAGCTCTTCTAATTTCAAAAGAGAAACAGACTGCACACTGAGAGATGCTCATTTTTTCCAGGAGGGGGAGAGGGGAAGAAGAGGAGAGGCAGCATCTTCACGAATTGACACATGAACACATGCTCTACACAATGACACAATGACACATGCTCTACATTGAGCTTTTTTGTCCTACTTACCCTGCCACAGCAAACACTGACAGGTTAGCATGTCTCTTCTTTGATCTAAAGAGGCACCTTTTAATACAAGAACAACAAAAGTCCTTCAGAGCCCCCTATTATTCCATCTACCTGTGCTGGAGGCTGCTTCAGATTGCTGGTAAAGCGGGAGTGCTGGCCGTGGCCCAGTGAGCCAGCTCAGGGACTGGCTGGGAGTCAGTCAGCAGGTGGGGAGTGGTTGCACCACTTGTTTTTCCTGAGTTTTGTTGCTTTCTCTCCCTTTTGTTGTTTTCATTTTCATTACAATTTTTTACTCTTTTTATTGTATTTCAATTATTAAACTGTTCTTATCAACACACAAGTTTTCTCACTTTTAACCTTCTGATTCTCTTCCCCCCTCCCACTGGGGGGGAGTGAGGAAGCAGCTGTGTGGTGCTTAGTTGCCGGCTGGGGTTAAACCACGACAACTTGCCAATTCTATTTTTGGCAGTGCTTCTGCCCAATCACGTAGGTCTAGCACATTAGCTTTATATGTCAAAATGTTTGGGCAAAGAGTCAGAGACTTTGATCAAGGCCTAGAGAAGTTTGCAGCAATAAATCTGTTACCTTTTGTTCATCTGGGACAAAAACCTTCTTGGCTTTTTTAATCATTGGTTGTGGTTTCAGGTCCTCTTCAGTAAACTTGTGCTTGCGAGGATTGAAGAGCTCACCACCAGGCACACTGGACAGCACTAAATCAGCAGGGTCAGGGTTAAAATTCACCTCAACTTCTACGCAGTCAGGATCAATGGGGCTGGGAGTGTTTCTGTCATTTTGTGGTGGGGACTCTGGCAACAACAGGAGAAGTTACAATACATTCCGCAGGATGAAGAGAATTAACCACGTAGCCAACTTGGGTATCTCTATTTATTGCCCTACTGTGGGCAGTATTTAATAGTATTATTTGCTATTTCCCTAAGGTGTGCTTGGTGCTGTACAGCTGCTGGTACAGAGAGAAGCTACACAGCCCAGGTTGTAATACAAACTCTAGGAACATATGCCAGACTAACAGACATGAGTAGATAGATGCGGGACAGGATTCACCACTTCCTCGGCAAAACCTATGTGCTTTGCGCACTTAAGAAGCGCCTTCCACAGCAGTAAGAAGTGAGAAACTTGTACTAGCCTGAGTTTTGTGCCATAGAAAGCCTTATGGAAACAAGCCTGCCAGAAGACCCCAGTCCCTGGGTCCTTCAAAGGTCAGACAAATGTATTTCCAAACAAAGGACTAAATAAAGGTGGGTTTGTTACAAATGCACCAATTCTATTTCTTTGCCACATGGAAACAAATGTCCCAACAGATTGTCTGACACTGCTGGCGTTCATATGAACTCTGTCATACTTATCTATTGCTTACAAATGTCACACACATGAATGGTAAATGTCAGTGCAATTTGAAGTAGCGATCAATGAATGAGTTTTTTCATACACTCCCCTAGAAAAAAGCCACACCCTATGTCTTATTGAAGGAGTTCCACATTTTGCCTTTCACTTGCAGATTCACAAAAGAGGCCCTGAGCAAAATGCTTCCTGTAAAGTCTGCTCATAAAATAGTAATGTGAAAGTTTAGTGACTACCATGTTTAAACTCCAAATCTAGAGCAAACCAAGCTGCTAAATTCTTTAATAGAGAAGATCTCCATTCTACAAACGAAGAGCAGTTTCCTAGTACCATTTCAGTACAGTTTTGTTTCTTTGTTCCTCCATTCCCACTTCAAAGCATCACTGAACATCAAACTACATCACTAACACACCTTTTCTGAGTATCTGTTCTCACTTTTCACAGGCTAGCATGAAAAGATTGCTTCATTGTTTTTCTATTAAGCATTGTTACTGAGGTACATTAAGCTAGCCTAAGTTCAGCCAAGCAGACCAAGCCACCAAGGTAGCACAAATGACTTCTCACCAACTACCAAATCTGTTGTAAAATAACCTGAGCAACTACTTTCTCAACATGTCCAGCTTCTCACTAGATGAGCAATACCAAGAAAGCAAATAATTTATGTTGGTGTTTCAGCTCTTCTAATTTCAAAAGAGAAACAGACTGCACACTGAGAGATGCTCATTTTTTCCAGGAGGGGGAGAGGGGAAGAAGAGGAGAGGCAGCATCTTCACGAATTGACACATGAACACATGCTCTACACAATGACACAATGACACATGCTCTACATTGAGCATGTTTGTGCTACTTAACCTGCCACAGCAAACACTGACAGGTTAGCATGTCTCTTCTTTGATCTAAAGAGGCACCTTTTAATACAAGAACAACAAAAGTCCTTCAGAGCCCCCTATTATTCCATCTACCTGTGCTGGAGGCTGCTTCAGATTGCTGGTAAACTGCAGTGGAAGAAGATGATGCAGGAGAACCAGTGGAAGCACTGGCAGACTCCTTTCCTTCCAGCTCAGCCACAGGCAAGAGTGGATTCTGGTTCAAATCCAGGTGAGTAGGGCTGGAAGGAATTCCATTCTCCAGCAGGAACTCATCCAGATCCATGTACTCCAGGTGGAAAGACTCGCCGTCGTAAGGAATAGTTTTGTCCCAAATGGGCGGCATAAGGGAAGCCGAGACTGCCATAGTGCTAGCAGCTGCTGCCTCATCTTCCTCAAGCTTTATCTTCTCCTTCTCTTTATCTGAAAGATATAAGTAGGTCACTGTACAAGCTGCAACACAGGAGAGACTCAAGGTTTAAGAGGCTAACAAAATCACAGCAAAAGGAAATTCAATAAGCTATAGTTCTGCCTCATGTCATGATCTGAAAAATCAGATGTTGAAAGGCAACATTCATACATTCATATGTAACTCAGTATGGAGTGCTCTGACACCCTGTGACAGCTGGACCACAGACATCCGAGTAGCCGTGAGGGCCAGCATCTTTGCTGTGATACTTACCAAAGTGTGATATAATACTGCATCTAGCTTATTAACTAGTCACTGCAAAATAGCCTGTTTTTCACAGGGTCATCTTGGAAAACAGCAAAAGTGAGCGTCCCTAAGTAGGATTACATGGGAAGCCATTAAGAAAAATTACTCTGCTTCCTCAGAGTTATTCTATGCACAAAGAAAGAAGGTGCAGAAGAATAATCTAGATACAAACCAGAAGGGAATATAGGTTTTCAGATTACGTTTGAAAATTAGTCAAAAGGTCCACAGGACACCAGAGACCTGGATGTCTATTGCTCAGTATTTTAGGAGCATTTCTTTCTGAAATGACTCAGCATGTCCATACAAAGCAATAGCTCCAAATGCTGTTCACTATAGATAGCTCAAAGTATCTACATACGATTTTCACTCTTTGGGGAGATGTCTAATAAGGCATACTCCCACACCCCATCCCCAAGCCACAAAAGACTGATGAAATTTTCTCCATTTACTATGCTACAGTGCACATATTGCAGAAAAATGGCTGTTTCTATGTTCCCCATAGCTACTGAATCTTAACAATTGTCTGGGATAGAATCCAAGCAGAAAATTCAAGTTATGGAATAATTACATAATTTAAGAGATAAAAATAAGCTGGCAGAAAAGAAAAAAAAAAAAATCCAAGTAATTTTCCTGATCCAGTTCTCCACGTAGCCATGCAGTTCTATCAGCACTGAAGGAGGCATTGCAGAAGCAGTGCTAGCACCACCAGTGTTGAGCCAGCACTGCCGTCAAAAGGAACGGTCACCAGTTGTGCTCTAACCAACTGCAAATTGGTTCTTACCATGGAAGCTAACAAATACTCATTTCAATGGAACAAGGACTCCAGAGACATACACTGGATCAGTTTGGATCCCCAGTATTCACACAGGTTAGCCCAACAAAATGCACACATCTTTGGCATGAGGGTTTTCTAGACTGGCTACAATATGCTAAAGGAGTATTTTTCTTTATCGGGGGTGGGAGCGGGGGTGAAACTCTGCTCTAAACCAGAAAAGCCTATTTATATAAAACCTATTCTGATAGAACTGGTGTTCCTTCTGCTGTTGCCTTAGCTGGTGTGGAACTGAGACTGAAAGAGCTTTTTATGGCTTAAAGAACAGCGCTGCCATACAAAGTAAATTATCATTTTAACCTACCGTACTCTGAACATTTTATACAGAAGAAGATACCGATTTTAAACTAAACAGCTGAGAAAATATTCACCATCCACTGACTTGGGACTAAGAGCAAGTACCTAAAGAACACGTTAAATTCAGACCAGCGGCCCCTGGACCTGAGCTTTGTTAACATCATCTTGCAGCTTTTGGCCTTCCCCCTTGCCACTTCACACCGCTGCCTCTGAACTGCCATCTCTCAACTCCTATCCCTGCTATAAACTCCTTTTTCCAGCAGAGTTTAGCAACTTTCCTACGCTTTACTTGGGCAAAAAAAATGTACAGGTTAACAGCCATGATCCAAATAACCCAAGTGTTTCTAAACGGCTTCCACTTGAAGCTAGAAAAGAAACGACGTCTACTCTACTTCACAGATAAGGATGATTTCACTTACTACTGAAGCACACCCCACCAAACTGGAACCACCATTTTACATCCAACTTGTGAATCAGGGATTGTTTATTTCCTCAACATTCGCATAGTGCCCTGCACAACCAAGCACAGATTTGCATTGAGGATTGTGGATGATATCCTAGTAAAGACATCACCAAAACAAATGCAAGTGACAATAATGAGTTATTTCTAAATAACTTTATTTTTTAATCAACATAACAAAAAAACTTCTGAATGTTGAGTCAAAATGTCAACTAAAAAGAAGAAAAATCATTCTTTACTCTTGAAAACAACAGTATTCCATTATAAGTTATGCTCGTTTTAATGCAAGCCAGCAGTGCTTTTGTTTTGCAACATCTAATACAACATCTCCAACAGAGGAGAAAAGAAACCTTAAGTGATTAGTAGACTAAACATAAGGCTTAGAAGTATTTTTCAGAAGGTAGATGCCAAAAAGACCATATTGCTGGCATACATGGCTCTTCTCAGATCTTTTAATGTCTTTTAGATGTGCACCATCATCCTGCTGTACTTCAGTAACCTGAAAAGACCGTCCAACTTCCTCCTGCTATCGTCCCTGACTCACACCAAATTAAATCCTTTCTTCACATGAGAAGACCATCTGAATTTTTTTCCTTTTGCTACACGTTGACAACTGGACAAGCACTGGGCCCCCAGTGCTGTCTTTGTTTAGCTACGCTCTCTCCCCCCTCACTTCTAACAGCCATATCTGAAGCAAATTAAAATAGCAGAAGTTAACATACATATTGCGTGCCCATGTATTTCAAACATGATACGTAAAAAGATAAAACTGTTGTATGACCATTTTTGCAATGACATTTTCCCACTGGCTTTCTTTCAATTCATTCAATCTTTATTTCTGCTGCACAACATTCTGCTGGGTGCACAATATCGAATGAAACACTAATTAATTTCTTGCATCTGGAGGGGTAAGTTTCCGCCTGCCCCAGCACAGGGACCTGAAATTTTAATTCTCTGAAGATATTTATAGTGTAAACAGGTATTACCTGACGGCAGAGCTGCAGTATCCTAAGAGGCTCCATTTGCAGTGATTCAAGGTCACCCTGATAAATCTGGACTGTACTTCTGCAGCTGATAGCTCATGTCCGATTTAGCCCCCTCATTCTGCTACTGTGACGTATTAACTAGGCTGTACATCTGCTGTTAACAGAGAGGTCACTAGTTTATGCTAAGTAATTTAGGTAGAGCATTCCAGTTCTTGAACTGTTGGAAATACTGCTGTTTTAGCCAAAAGCAGCAGCCTGGAAAGAGCTTTATTCCACATCCTGTTTTTTCCTCAAAAGAACTCTTACAAACAAACCAAACCCAGACCCAAAGACATTTTGGCCACAACTGTCAAATGCTATCCCAGCCACAAACAGAATAAACACTTCTTTGACAAAGTCCCCCTTGCTCATCAAAAAATATTGTCAAATTATACTGAGAACTCTACACAGATTAAGGCTGATTGGTCCATAAATCTTCAGTCCCACTCACGACAATAGAACAAGACATGTTATAGGGTTCTGTATTCCCGATGTCCATTACTGTGGTGTTTGTTGAGGCACTCCTCCCGCCACAGCAGCACACAACTGGTGATTAAGGCATCCTTTGGAGAGCATGCAGCAGCTCATTATTAATAGGAGAGACCTACACTCCTGCTCTAGAATATTAACTCTCTTCCCTTACCCCACAGGACTTTTTTTATAAAAAGATCCTTGTTTTTATTTATTTAATCCCTACAATGTACATGACAACAACTTACAGCAAGGCTGGTCAGATATACTTGGTATAAGGCAGTGCGTTCAAGATGATGGCATTCAGTTGGAACTGGATGTCCTCCTCTGCTGCTGAGAAGGATTAGAAAGGCTGCTTACTTACTGGGTAGTCAAATTACCTACGGCAGTTGGAAAACCCATAGGTAGCTTGTGGAGACTATAAATGGACACTGCAGCCAGCTGATACCGTTCCTCGCAGAATAAAACAGAAAATTGTATTTTTGTCAACAGGCATTCCAGACAAAAGGCATAGGGCCTTTTCTCAGAAAGCCTGCTAAAAACACACCACTCTATTAAGTAAATTAGTAATTATTTTAACATTTTGGCTGTGTCACTATACTGTAAAGGAACAGAAAATAAACAAGGATCCTCCGAAGTCAGTTGAGTCACAATTCTACTGGCAAGTCTTTTGTAAAATTAAGAGTAACTACCTGCTAACACAGAAGGCATTCTTTCTTTTGTCTTGCAAATATGCAAACAAGAAAAGCATCAGAGATCAAGATAAACAGAAAGCAACAAGTTCCACAAAGTGCAAAGTGAAACAGTACTAGGGGGACTAAGGAAATCTATGGAGAAATGTTAAGAATGAGAACGATCTGAACCTCATCACAGCGTGAATGGAAAGGGGTAATCAAGATGCAATGGATTCAGGAGCAAGCTTTAGAGAATCAAGCTGAACACCTTCCCAAGCTGGAACCGGGTCATCTAGTGAAAGAAAAAGTATCAAATGTTTCTAATTTTAGAAAAATACACTACCTCAAAATCGTACTAATTTTAAAATGTTACATCTCCATAGGCCAGATCACACGACTCTGGACAAGAAAACCACCTCTAAGACAAAGTCGCCATATTCCAGTCAGCTACCATCGTGGTTTCCACACATGAACTTTTGCTCCTGCTGGCACCATCCCCTTTAAAAAGGACCGGGAGAAGAAATATCTTATTAAATCCCATAGTGTTGTAGGTTCAAAATTCTATGTACTGCAGCATCCTGCACCATAGCAACATAACTAAAACCTTTATCAGAGGCTGACTTTTTTTTTTTTAACAGAAAGGAGAAAAAAATATTTGCTGGAATCACAAGATAGATACATTTACACAGTATTGTGCAATGTTAGACATGCGAAGTAAATGGATCTTAACTGGGATCCTCACTGGGAACAATGCTGCCAACCTTGCTTGCACTGCAGTCTACCCTGGATATTGTCTGATGCTCCAAAAATTACTCTCAACCTCAAAATTCCTAGATGTAAGGACTTAGTTTATTATACACCAGTACACTGAGCATTACAGAGGTGCAGATCAACCTGAGCCTTCCTCAAAATCAAACTGATACTCAGAAAGGCAAAAATACTGCCAGGT